CAGTATGGGAAGGGCAGCATCTGCACTGGAAAAGGCAGCGGTAAAAGGTTTGCTGCAGGTTGCTCTGAAAACAGAGACGGATTTGAAACGAGAAGAAATAGAGATCCTTCTTAGTTGGGGAAGAAGGAAAAGATTTTTACAAACTACCTCGCAATTAATTGATACAAAACATTGGGATATGTTGGGCAGAGAACTCTGGGACTCTATAACAGTCGGTAGCAAAGCAGCAACACGCCTGGCACCGACTTGGCAAAAGATCAAAGGAATGCTGGCAACAGTCTCTTCAGAGGCAGCAGTTAAAGCAGCATTCCGGCAAACATTAGAGGAAGCCCATGATGAATTGCGTGATTCTGATGGTAATAACAAGTCAGAGGCAAAAACACCTGAACCTGCCCCCCCGTATGAAGCCTCTCCTGATAAACACGTTTTTCCTGCTTATGAGCGTGATTTCTGGGGCAGAGGATCTTCCACTGTGCCTTTGTCAATTTTCCCAGGAGGTTCTGGTTCTAACCCCGTCTGTCGTTGTCCCTCCGGAGATGTCTGAGCCCGGGTCAGCTGAACCCTCTGCTCCACCATTAGATCCGGCATCTGTACCGTTGCCTATGGAAACGGAGGAACAAGGAGCTACAGGGGGAACAGAACTTTATCCAGATTTGCACGACCCCGAATGGGGGCGACCATTGTGCCACTTAATTAAAGAACAAGAGAGAAAAATGCAAGAGGTGTTAAAACAAATGAAAACCCTGGACGGAGGGTCGAGTAAAGTCTCTCGAATGATAGCCTATGACAAAGCTTCTAAAGCTATCACCGGTGGGCTGAATGCTTTGGAGGAGATGGTGGCGCGGGGAAGTGCGGTTCCACAAAATATTGACAACGAACTAACTCCAGAGGAGTGGCAGATAAAAGAACAGAGACAAAGAGAGTGGTGTCGCACGTGTGTAGAGGATGGTTGGTGGACTGAGCAGGAGGCTGAGGAGTGGTTGCAAAAGAGATTTGGAGAGAAGCCTGTGGAAACGAGAGATCGGTATGCCGGTATGAGGCGATTAACAGACCCCCCCAAAACAGTCTTTTAATCCGCCAAGTTCTTCTACAGACCCACCGCACATACCCCAAGACCCGCCGAGAGATCCCGGCTACAACGCTGGCCAACGCTGGAAAGGGCTAATTAAGGAAGTGACTATCGAAGGAGTTATGCTGCCACCTAGCGTCACTGTCATGCCAGTGTTTGTTGGCCCTCATGGAGACTCAGTCTGGGTTCCTTTCGATTGGAAAGTGGTTAAGCAGCTACAACAATCAGTCATGCAATATGGAATGGACAATAAGCATGTTTTGCAGTTACTGTCTGCATTTTTTACAAATCAAGCCTTGACTCAAGTGGACATTCGTGCTGTGGCAGAACTAATATTACCACCTACAGCATTCTTCTTGTTTCTGGACAAATGGCAAATGAAAGTGGATCTGACTGTGATTGAAAATGCTGATCGACATCTAGGAGACCCGCTGCGTTTGGCTTCAGCAGACCAACTGCTCAGAAAAGGACGCTATGCTGAGGGAGCCGTTCAAGCTGCTCTATACCCACAAATCTTACAACAGGCACAATCTCTGGCTTTGGCTGCTTTGAAGGAAGTGCCAAATGTGGGAAAACCACAGCCACCCTATACAACGGTAAAACAAAAACCTGGAGAGCCTTACATGCAATTCATTGACCGCCTTAAAGATGCCATTGATGCATCGCCGAATCTTTCTGAGGAGGCTAAAGCAGCAGTGGGGAAAGACCTGGCCATGATGAATGCCAACCCACAATGTCAGCAGATACTAGCTGGATCGGGAAAAGCCACCACGTTAGCTCGAATGGTGGAAGCTTGCAGCAGAATTCCAGTGGTCCAGCAGGAAACAGAAAAAGCCAAGATCCATGCAGCTGCTCTTGCTGCTGCACTAAAGCCCGCATTGCAATTCAGAAAAGGTGATCGCAGTAATGGATGTTTTAGCTGCGGCCAAAAAGGTCACCTGAAACGCGACTGTCCACGGGAAAAGCCACCACGTTAGCTCGAATGGTGGAAGCTTGCAGCAGAATTCCAGTGGTCCAGCAGGAAACAGAAAAAGCCAAGATCCATGCAGCTGCTCTTGCTGCTGCACTAAAGCCCGCATTGCAATTCAGAAAAGGTGATCGCAGTAATGGATGTTTTAGCTGCGGCCAAAAAGGTCACCTGAAACGCGACTGTCCAAAAAACAAAGGGAAAACAACAGCTCCTGTGTCAACCAGAAATGAAGGATTTGCTGGGTTTTGTGCCAGATGCGACAAGTATGGACATCGTGCTGCAGAGTGTCGGGCACAATTCAAAAAGGATGGTACACCGACCCAGGGAAACGGGCAGCGCCATGGGACGGGGCACGAAGCCACAATACCGTCCAAAAGCCAGGCCATTGGCTGTCTATCAGAGCTCTCAGCAGCAACCCGAGGGAGCGCTGGACTCGATTTGGCCGTGGGAGCAGACATCACCTTAAGAGACTCTGCCATTCATGTTGTCCCTTCGACCGTAACTGGGCCGTTAGGGCATGGACTTAGTGCACTTTTACTAGGAAGATCATCAACTACTAAACAAGGACTTATCATACACCCAGGTGTCATCGACGCAGACTATACTGGACAAATAGGCATAATGGTTCAAGCATTGGCCCCACCTGTTACGCTTAAATGCGGTAGCAGAATTGCTCAATTGGTACCATTCAAAGCAACCGTGCCAAAAGCCTGTGACAGTGACAGGGAACAGAAGGGCTTTGGCTCGACTGGCCCTGCTACAGTTGCTTTTGTTCAGTGTGTGACAAATGAGAAACCCTGTCGGACTGTTAACATAGAAGGACCAGAGGGCATAATTATCCCTCATCAAAAGATGAACCGGAGCTGATGTCACAATCACCCCAAGACAAGCCTGGCCAAAGGAGTGGCCTTTGGAATCAGTCAACAACATGGTAATTGGGATTGGGGGAGCATCTCCTACACATATAAGTGCTCACTTTGTAATCATCCGAGATCTGAAAGAAGATCTTGTAGCACACGTACGCCCATACATTCTGAATACAACCATTTGGATTCTTGGCAGAGATGCTATGGCTCAGTGGGGAGTTACCATTCAATCGTCTTTTGCATAGCAGCCATTGAGGCGAGCGCAATCCGTCCAACAATGAAACTGACTTGGCTGACAACCACACCAGTCTGGACTGATCAGTGGCCGCTGCCAACAGACAAGCTCGCACACCTGGAACAATTAGTACAAGAACAAGTGGATGTAGGACATTTAGTACCTTCCACTAGCCCTTGGAACACTCCTGTGTTCACCGTGCAAAAGAAATCTGGAAAGTGGCGACTGTTACAAGACCTGAGAGCAGTAAACGCAGTGATGCAAGATATGGGAGCCTTACAACCGGGATTGCCAACCCCCTCAATGCTTCCGAAAAATTGGGACATTGTGGTCCTAGATCTCAAGGACTGTTTTTTCACTATCCCCCTACATTCAGACGACTCTGAGAAATTTGCATTTACTGTTCCATCTACCAATAGAGCTGCACCTGCAAGAAGATACCAGTGGGTTGTTCTCCCGCAAGGTATGAAAAACTCTCCAACCATTTGCTGATGGTACGTTGATTTGGCTTTAACACCTTTCCAGAAGAAGTACTCTCACATGATAATATATCATTACATGGACGATCTGCTTCTTTGCAACCAAGAGCCTATTGACAATAGCATCATTACTGAACTGACTCAGCAGTTAACCACATGGGGACTGGTTATTGCCCCTGAGAAAGTTCAACATAACCCACCATGGAAGTACCTTGGAATGGTACTCACAGAAACTGTCATCCGTCCACAAAAACTCGCTCTACAAACAGAAATCAAGATGCTGAATGATGTGCAAAAGCTGGTAGGCAACATCCAGTGGGTTTGAAATGTGTGTGGGATCTCAAATACAGAACTTGCCCCACTCTTTGAACTGTTAAGAGACGGGAAACAGCCACAAGATCCGCGGTCCCTGATACCACAGGCCAAGCAAGCTCTACAAGAGATTTCAACAAAAATTGCAAATACTACAGTTGCAAGAGTAGAACCCAAAGAGCCTATTTGCTTGTACATTTACAATACTGATGCTGAAGTTGCAGGCATTTTAGGACAGTGGTTACCACAGTGCAAAGATCCTTTACAAATCCTGGAATGGGTATTTGTAACAAGTCGTGGTAAAAAATCTATCATCACACGTTGGGAAGTAATAGCACAAGTCATTGTAAAAGCGACGACACGACTGATTGAAATAGCTGGACAAAGTCCAGAGAGGATTATTTTGCCCATTCAACTCGATCAAGTTCCACACTTGTGCCGACAGAGCAATGAACTGGCAATAGCGTTGCTCAATCATGGTGCAAAACTTGATAACCACTATCCATCACATCCTTTGTTTAAAACCACACTTCCACTAGAACTTATGCCTATTGTTGTCAAGAAACTTGTGGATGGTGTAACTGTTTTTACTGACACCAGCAGCAGGACACAGAAGGCTGGATACGTGTGGCTTCAAGATGGAGAGTGGAAGTCACATTGTATTGTTGGAGAAGGCTCTGTGCAGATTTTAGAGCTACAGGCTGTTATCACTGCCTTACAACAGTGGGAGAATGATTGCTTAAACTTAGTAGTGGATTCCCTGTATGTTGTCGGGGTGGTAAAGCGAATGCATCGCTCCATTTTGGGTCATGTCTCAAATCCAGTGTTGTTTGCTGCTTTTACACACCTCTGGCATGTGCTGCAACAAAGGAGTAAACCTCTTTTTGTTACACACATAAAGAGTCATACTAATTTGCCAGGAGGTCTGGTTGAGGGTAATGAGGCACAGAAATCACATGCCTTTTACCATCAGTCGTCTGCAGCTTTGAAAGCACAATTCCAAATATCAAAAGCCGATGCAAGAGCAATTATTGCTGCCTGTCCAGATTGTGCACAATTACCAGTTATACAAGCCTCAGGAGCAAATCCCCGAGGACTTCAACCCAGGCAAATTTGGCAAACAGATGTTACTGAATATCCGAAATTTGGCTGTCAAAAATATCTTCATGTTACCGTAGACACATGTTCAGGAATGATTTGGGCTACGGCTTTACATTCCACTTGAGCTTCTGCAGCAAAGAAACATTGGCTACAGTCTTTTGCTGTGCTAGGGAAGCCCGAGCAAATTAAAACTGATAATGGGCCTGCATATCGTTCTAACATAATCAGTCAATTTATGGCCGATTGGCAAATAAAACATGTCCAGGGAGTTCCTTATAACTCTACGGGACAAGCAATTGTGGAACGTGCACATCGCACATTGAAACATCACCTAGACATTATTAAAAAACAGGGGGAATTGGCGTCACCCCAAGACATTTTGCATAAAATGCTTTTTGTACTCAATTGGCTAAATCCAAAACAGGAATCTCTCGTTCCTCCTGCCATTGCACATGGCCGTGGGAACAATAGAGATATGAGCACAATGCAGGTACAGGTAAAAATCTATTACCCTAACACAGACAAGTGGGAAGGTCCAGTGAATTTACTGACCTGGGGAAGGGGTTATGCTTGTATCTCAACAGGTGAAGGGAAGCCACAGTGGATACCCGCGAAATGGGTAAAGCCCTGGCTTGATGACTCACAATCTGGATCCAGAGGCGCAACAGAGGAAGGAGGAGAGAGCGTGGAAAATTCTACAACCTTGGTTACGGAGAGCACATCCGAGTGCTGATCAGTTACCAAGAACAGATTTGTTGCACAGCATCAGCATCAGTAATCCGCAGAGACAACAGGCATTACTGAACCAGGTGATATCTGAGGAACAAAAAAGGGAGCTAATACAATCTTGCTCGGTACATGGCTTAAGGTGTCGACCTTGGATTAGAGTGCAGTGTGTACTCTGTCATGAAAAGGTGTGGAAAGTAACTAGAAATCGGGAAATAGAATATCACTGGATGTGCATCATCTGTAAACATAAGGTCCTTGAGTACTCATACGGGGACTGGTTGTAGTCTTTTATTGGGAGGCCATTGGAGTTTGTGGAGGGTGTGCTTCCCCATACGGAAGCTTTTGCATTGCAGAGACATTTTGACTTGTTAAGTGCTATTAGTTTAATTGAAAACATAGAAGTTAGAGTAACTGCATTTTTGCTTCTTAACATAGTAAAACTTATAGCTAAACAAGATATTATTAGAAGCAATAAGATAACAGGAAGTCAGTGTGGACACGAAGTAGCGGTACCCAAAAGCTGGCAAGTAAGAGATGGGGAATGGGAACATCAAAAGGCACAATGGCGACGAAGGTGCTGGTCACATTTGCCATCACAATCGCGTACCTTTGGGCCAAAAACTATGAAGCATTAGAATTGCCAAGGCAAACTAATGTCTGGTTGACGTGGGCTAACGTTACAGGCCAGAAGGATTTTTGTATCAGCATGGCTTTGCCAGGAGATCCTTTTCGCACTTGCCTTATTGGGATGCCGTTGGTAGAAAATGAGACAGATTTTAGTCAATGGATAGATATAGCTCATTATAATGCTAGTTGTGTAAGTACGCAGAATGTGGAGAATTGTGGATGTTATTGCTCAGGACAAACCACGAAAGCGGAATTTACATGGCCATCTTTGAGAGGAGCATGCTGGCAAAGAGCGCTGGTTCAATCTTTGAATAGAATCGATCCAGAACTGGTGCAAGAAGTAGATCTTTTGGCAAGCATTGCACCAGTGGAGATTGTCAACATATCTCATTTAGCAAGTTGTTCAAGGATGCATACCCCAGTACCGTACAATGGGACTGGAGCTATTACATTTGGTGATCCTAGGATTGTATGGATAGCAAAGCCGAACTCACAAGGCGTAATCTATCAAAATGTGACGGGGAAATCATTGGGTTGGCCGGAGCTCAAGATTGGTACACTAGCAGTAAATGTGTCTGGTGGAACTTTACTTCCACCCGGTGTCTTTCTAATATGTGGGGATAGGGCTTGGAATGGCATACCACACTACCCCATAGGGGGACCTTGTTATCTTGGGAAATTGACTCTGCTCACACCCCACATGAGAGACCTCATTAACCAAACAAAGTCTAAACGAGCTCGTCGGTCTGTTTCATATTTTGACAAAAATTGTAATGATAAAGTTGAACTGCCATCAATAGCCACAACAGTTGCCTTAGCCTTCTTTTTGCCTGGAGGTGCAGCAGCTGTAAATGCAAAAAACATCAAACGCCTTGCACGCTGGAGTGCAAAACAGTTTAACCTGACATCTTTGATGATTTCAGAGCTATTGCAGGATGTGGACAGCGTTAGACATGCTACCTTACAGAATCGTGCTGCTATTGACTTTTTGCTGTTAGCACAGGGTCATGGGTGTCAAGATTATGATGGTATGTGTTGTTTTAACTTGTCTGATCACTCTTCTAGCATCCATCAACAGTTGGCCATTTTACAGCAGAACATGAAGCGGATACCCGTTTCCTCTGACCCATTTTTGGAATGGCTGAGCAATTTTGGAATGGGAGGTTGGATTGGAGGGTTGCTTAAGAATTTGTTAATGCTTTTAATGCCTTTAATTATGCTGCTTTTGCTTATTCCTTGTATTATTCGCTGCTTGCAGGGATTTATCATTAGAACAGTTTCACTTGTTTTTAAAGAAAAGGGGGGAAATGTAGAGGCCTGGGCCGTAGAAGCACTGTAACTGCAAATCTGTGTGAGAAAGTGTGAAAGGAGCCATGCAACCGTGAGATGGGAACGACCTTGAGCGCTTAAGAATAGAAACTTGGCAGAGGAGCGACGAAGATAACGAAGATACTGAACACAGAAAAATAGACTAGAGACGGAGAACTTTTAACCAATCATATATTAACTTAGCTGGGGTGGGTAACGCGCACAGCCTATTAGGAGTCAGATAGATGTAAACATAGAATGCTGGAAATGTATAAAAAGCTTGCTTTGTGTGTAATAAAATGGCTATCAGAGCATCTTATTGGTGTGCTGTAGTCCGTTTCTCGCATGGACCCCAACCCCCACCCAACTTAGTGTATCCCACATTCCTTTGTGCCTCTTCCAGGGTGATAGTTACATTATATATTTTGAGACATTCTCCCTCAGCAAGATTTAGTATCCCACATACACCTTGCTCATTTAACTGTCACCAAATATCGGGACGAGAATAACTTATCGACACAAATATGATGCAGATAAGCAGGCACTTCTTTTTTACGGCCGAGTGCAGAGGGGAATAGTTTCATCAATGTCACACATCTTGCCTGGTGTGTTTACACATTATAAAGGATATATGAGCATGTGCATACAATTTCCCTTAACTAATTAAAATAACTCCTCCTACTTCCAATCATGTGCAATATTTGTAGAAATTTGGTCTGGGGGTTGCTTGTAGCTCTCCCCTCCCCAGACTCCAGACTTAAAAGAAAGACCCTCTAACGACCTTGGTTCAAGGACTTGGCTAGAAAAGCTGAGGGGCTTGTTTCACGTAACAAAGGTGTAAGGCTCCAGCAATAAATTTTCATCCTTCATTCACCTTAAACTATGTGGCATTGTTGGTGATCACTGGCTTGGTTATACTTTTAGTGAATAAAACAAACTGTAACTAAAATAGGACCTGGGCTATACATAGGTTCGTTAGGAGCTTTAACATTTTCTAAATCA